TGGTTTTCAATGAAACTTTTAAAGAGTACCCATCACATTTCAATGAACCTAAGACTATGCACCATATTAGTTTTTGGTAAATATTTATGCCTATTAATCACCTAATTAACATAATTAATTAACACTGATATCTCAATTACTGATCATCACATTTGAATAAAACTTGGTACATAAAAGCTCTAGGACAGTCTGATTAATTTTGGGTTAAAATCCTTATTTATTAGTTTTCAGCTATTCCATCAATATCTCAAGTATAAGTAATTTTGAATTAATTTTTAATGTGTCTCCAAAACTCTCAGCACACGGGAGTTCTTTCTAAGCTTTCTTTGATTTTTGATAATGAAATGAATAAGTTGATTATTTATTTATTTAGAGCATAAAGTCTTGTGATTCAAATAAATTGTTAGTGCTGCCAATCATTATCTGATCTACACTGTGTTTTTGCCTCCAATTTTAATTTCCATGTTTATTAACTTGTTTGTTGATCCTATTTCAGCCTTTAAGTCAGTCTTACCACGAGTTAGCCTCAGTGTACACATCAAACAATCCAAGCGAGTTGAGAAATGTGGTGGTCAAGCACAACGATCAGTTAACAAGGGTAAGATTCTAACTGTAGAGGGCAGTATCACTATTTTATACATAGCTCCTCACCTTACAGAGGCTTCATTCAATTACATATGTCAACTAACATTGTTGCAACCATTGAACCAACTAGAGAAACATAATTGATTTCCCAGACTTTTGGTCGTGGTCTGCATACAATGTTTTGTTTTTTGGTGAATTTTCCTGTCTTGCATGTATGTTGAAGAGTTTTGAGCCAAATTGAATTGTTGTCATACTTTTATTTATAAGTTCATATCATCAAGATACTAAACAATCCAGATCAGTCCACTCTGACATTGCTAACCAGCATGGTGTGACCAATCACCATCTTTTTAGCTCTGCTGTCGACTTTGTCGAGCGGAGCTTATCATATGAGTGATTGTCCGTCGTCGTCGTCTGTGTCAATGTTTTACTTTTTCGACTTCTTCTTAAAAACTACAAGCCTGAATGCTTTGATACTTGGTGTACATGTACCTTGGGTAGACCTCTCTCAGATATGTTCATTTTGTAATGATATCTTCAATTCTCTAATTTTGCTTAATATTTTTGTAATTTTTGGTAAAAAGTGATATTTTCGACTTTTTGTGGAAAACCGCAAGTCCGATTGTTTTTATATTACATATATAGGTACTACATGTGGACCTCTTTCAGATTTGTTAATTCCGTGGTGATATCTTCAATTATCTAATTTTGATGATTATTTTTGTCATTTTGGTGATATTTTTAAATTTTTGTTGAAAACAGCAAGTCCCATTGCTTTGATACTATACATATTGCTCATTTTCTAATGATATCTTCTGTTCTTTTATTGAAATGTGCATTGCTAACAGCGGAGCTATCTCAGCCGACTGGCTGCTTGTTTTTTTACCTTTTGGTGTGAATGACTTTTGCCAAACACTCACTCATGCAAAACCAAACTCAGCTTTGTAATGGGCACACTGGTATAGTAAAATATACATCATTTGTAAGTGGCCAGCAGGATCTTCTTGAGAGTAACAGATCCCCTTGCATTCTCATTAAAATAGTAGTAGCAGGAAGTGAGTGTTTATTTCAATACCAATCCACTGTATTTCTGTTCTTTATATTCTAGGATCAGAACATGGGACTTGTAAAGCAGTGTATTTCATCACTGTATAAAAAGAACATTCAAAGACTCACTCAGGTAGGCTCAACATCATACTATTATAATGACATGAAACAGAAAACTAGATTCATTGGTTCATGTTCATGTTCAGAACCTTCTGCATTATGCATAATTAGCCCCCGCCGGATCTGTGATCTGGGCGGGGGGTATTAATTTGGGTCGTGTCTGTGCAAATGTGTGTGCACATTTTCATGTTACCAGCTTTTTCTCACACATGTGTGATCCAATTCAGTTCAGAGTTGGTACAGAGACAGAAATTGATGGTGTTATTGTGCACATCAAGTTATTTTTTCGATTCTTCAAAGTTTCACTGTGTTTTTCCTTGATTTTTAACATTTTTCTATCAAAATCCGACTTTTCCCGAAATTACCCGAGTTTAATCTGAGTTTTGATGACGCTTACGCAGTTCTCGTCTCGGTGGAAATCAGTCATTT